CACACACACACACACACACACCAATCAATTGTCACTAAAAGCAAAATAAAATTGCACATGTTGGACAGAGGGACAGAGGCCAGAGGAAGAGGGAGGAGGAGTTTGCATGCAAGCTGGGCCTATTCATCAAGTGGGAAGGCAAGGAAAGCATTTCAGACAGAGGTAACAGGATAGGCAAAGGCATGGACTTGTGAAAGTGCCAGGTGAGCTACATGCCTAGGATGGAACTGACCAGAGCAGAGCTACATGGAGAGATGGGAAGGAAGGTAACACTGTGAACTCTTATAGGAGCCAGGTTAATCTGTTTGGGTTGATCTAGAGGGCAGTGGGTTATCACAGGAGGAATCTGAGCAAGGGGAGAACCTGGACAGATGCAGACCCAAAGGAGCTCACTCAGGCTGCTAGAAGGTGGGAGGCAAGGCCTGGTGCAACTTAACACTCACTGAGACAGGCTTCCCCTGCTCAGCATCCAATCCCAGAAACACATGGCCCACAGGCTGCACAGGTCTCCGGGGCCCCAGAGGCTGGGAGGAGGCTGAGATGCAGTCCACGTGTACAGAGGCCACACGTCCAGCCACACTCAGCATTAGCTTGTGCCAACGCAGGTCAAAGAGCTGGGGCACTGGGAAGATGCAGGACACAAATTCACCATCTTGGTCCTGTGCCCGGAGCTCCAGGCTCTGCTCTTGGCTGTTGACTTCCAGGGAAATCTGTGCAGAATTGGGAAAGGAGAAGGAGAGAGTTAGCGCTCCAGAGTCACCTCATGGCAAAGTCAAGGGCCCTCGAGCTCATTTCACAGAAGGGGAAACTGAGTTCCAGAAACGGAAGAAAGCTGGTTGGAGTCATGAAGAAGTATGTCTTGAAAGAATGGGACTGGAACTGATGGGCTGAGGTCACCTTGAGGGTGGGCACTGAGATGGAGCAGGGAGGCCCCAGCTGGATTGGTATCACCTGATGCCCCAGGGAGCATGTGCGTAGGGTAGTGGGCAGGACTCACCTGTGGATACCCATTTCCATCAGTCACTTGAAACAAGTACCATGTGTTCTGGTAGGTATGCTTCTTCAGCAGGAGGGTGAGCACTAGGGCAAATTCCTCTGGGAGTCCTTGAGGGAACACTCGGCTGCAGATGGAGTGGAGGGATGCCCTGAGGCTCAGGGAGAGCCCAATTGCTGCCCACTCCTCTGGGCCTTTAGGAATGAAGAGCCTGCCTGTGATACCAAAGGCACACACCTCCAAACAAAGTACATTCATTCTCCCATTTTGCATCACTTATTGAGCATCTTCTAGGTGACAGGTGCGGGGCTGGCTACTGGGGGAATATTGAGGAAAACAGAGAAGGGGCCTGCGCCCGTGGGGCCTTCCAGTCTGATGGTGATGGGGGACTAGAAACTCCCCGGAATGACTACTTCACTACTGCATTACAATTTTGGCAAGGGCTTCTAAGGAATCTAGGATGCCTTGGGATGAATAACTGGGCCTGGGATGGAAGGAAAGATGCTAAAAAAGATGGGAAGGGTTCTGCATGACAGAGCAGTCAGAAGAGAAAGGGCCATATGGGGGGTTGAGGCCAGAGGGGTAAACAGGCGCAAGTCACCTGAGGACTGGTGGGAGTGTGGACTTCACACATGTGAGCACATACACACACACTTGCCAGGTTCCTACTCCCATCCTACTGTTCTCATTCTTGAGGAGCTCACAAGACACGGACCTGGTCCTGCCCACTGCTAGCCAGAGATAGGGTAGGACTGCTAGGTGCCCCTTTGCACCCCACCCTACAAGCACCAAGACTAGAGGCCAGGCTGAGCCCTGGCAGGGGAGTGATGAAATGACCCCCAGTGAGACCCCACAGCCAGGGTAACTGGGGTGTGACTGAGGTCAGTGTCTATTCCCAGCTCACACCAGTGCCTTTACCGCGTGGGCTGGGTGAGCAGGGTTGCTCCCAGCCGCAGGATGAGAGGCCCCCCCTTGGGGTTTCGGATCTTCTTAATGGCAGTTGTCTTCATGAGGCTGAGTCGGCGAATGAGGTTGAAGCCTTTGAGAAAAACAACAGATGAAAGGCTCAACTGAGCAGGTAAAGAAGGGGTTCCTTCCTGGACGAGGGTAGAGGGGACAGCAGCAGGATGAGAGAGGCACTCACCAGTTACATTGGCTGATAGGTTGATGCTGTGTTCCAGCTTGAGTCCTTCCTGCTGTGAAGGGGGGCACTGCTCACCTGGAAGAGAATTGGCTGGGGAGCATTGGGGACTTGGGCTGAGGCAGCTGCCCAACTGGGCTCCTGGGAAGCAGCAAGTTCATTCTTAGCTTTAGCCTCGCCCAGCCTGAACCCTGACTACCCTGGGAGCCAGGAGGAGCCCCCAACACAGTCGGGAAGACAGGCCCAGAGAATGAGGCCTGCTCCAAGGCCACTGAACGAGTCAACAGCACAGCAGAACCAGAACTGGAACCTGAATCTCCCAGTGCTCCCTGTCAGGGTCCAGACCAGCAAGGCAAAGGATGAAACAAACTGGACGACACCAGAGCACTGTGAGGTGGTGAGCTGTGGATATGCATGTGTTCCCTCCATTACATGCACTGAGGTGAGGGCAGAGGAGCACTTCAGGTTGAGGAAATGTCAGGCTCCTGTCCATTTTGTGTTCTGTGCAATTGCATGGCATGTCTGCACGTGGGTGAGTCGTGGATACCCATGCCACCAGGGATGCCATGTGCAGCTGGGACATGTGCTCTCTGCAATGGGTGGGGTTCCACTTCCCACATCCAAAGCAGACAAGCAGGCCAGACACAAGTTGAGCCCACAGAATGGCTTTTCACCTGGATAACCATCTGATGAAACAGTGAGAAGAGACTGAGGGTCTAAGGACACCTCAAGCTCAAGGGCACCACCAGGGCCTAAGACTCCAGGCAGGGCACATTAAGGGGTAAGGGTTCCTAGAGAATGAGATATTTTAATGCAGGTCTTCAAAGCCCTGAAGGGACAGGCTGGCAGCTGAGAACCTTCCTCTCCCTTGGCTGACTGAGCAGGAGTACTGGAGGAGGTGCTACACTAGAGAGATAGACACTAGAATCAAAAAGTCCTTTCCAGCAAGCAGCTACAAAGCCAGGACAAGACAGTAAAGCAGGATCCTAGAGGCTGGCAAACTCCTTGTTAGCCTGACGGAAAGAAGGAATCCTGGGTCCCTGGTCATGGTCACCCCACTGGAGTTCCTCCCCCAGGTCTGACCAGAAAGATCTTCACTGTCTTCAGCCTCAAAGCAGCAGTGGGTGACTCACCCCTTGGCAATGGGCCCAGATTCCTTACAGATGTTGAAATTCTCTGCCCCAGCACCACCCCCCAGAGGACCTGGTGAGGGAGAGGAGAGCAAAGCTCCCCCATACATGTGCAGAAACACATATATATGAGTGCACATACATATGCACATACACGGCACCCACACAACTGGTAACAACACCCATTCCTGATACGTAACACTTCTGGGGGGTACTGGGAATTGAACTAAGGATCTCACATGGAGATACATCCCTATCCCCGCCCCCTTTTTTGAGACAGGATCTCACTAAGTTGCTAAATTGCCTAGATTTGGCCCAATTTGGGTTTCTCCTGCCTCAGCTTCCCAGAATGCAGGAATTACAGTTGTGTGCCACCATGCCTGGCTTGCACAACCCCTCTTGCTTTGCTTCTTTGTTGGTGGCCCTTGACCATCTGGGTCTAGGTTCTAGGAGTTCTGCTCCTGCTTGGCTAGGTGGAAGAGCTACCAAGCCCAGAGGGGACCCAGTGGGGCTGGGCAGGCCACCCAGTAAACGTCCCCTGGTCTTTAGCCCTAGAACGCTGCAGCCTCTGTCCCGTCCAGAGTCTGGCCTGAGGATAAGTCTTGCACAGGAGAGCCAGGTTGGCTGTGGAGGAGGCGCACTCATCTGGGCTGGAGGATGGAGTCTCCACTATGAGCAGGAGCAGGACTTAGGCCAACCTTCTGCAGGGCAGGGAAAGCAAAGTGCCTTCTCCTCCCAACCCACTGTCCCCATCAAGGCTAACACAGGACAGGTTTGTATATACAGGGGAGGGGGCTGTCCGGCCCCACACAGAGACCCAGGAGTAGGTATAAATGCACAGAGCCACTCTGAGATACGAACACAGAGATGCTCAAAGATGTAAATATATGCACACACACACACACAAACACACACACACACACACACACACACCAATCAATTGTCACTAAAAGCAAAATAAAATTGCACATGTTGGACAGAGGGACAGAGGCCAGAGGAAGAGGGAGGAGGAGTTTGCATGCAAGCTGGGCCTATTCATCAAGTGGGAAGGCAAGGAAAGCATTTCAGACAGAGGTAACAGGATAGGCAAAGGCATGGACTTGTGAAAGTGCCAGGTGAGCTACATGCCTAGGATGGAACTGACCAGAGCAGAGCTACATGGAGAGATGGGAAGGAAGGTAACACTGTGAACTCTTATAGGAGCCAGGTTAATCTGTTTGGGTTGATCTAGAGGGCAGTGGGTTATCACAGGAGGAATCTGAGCAAGGGGAGAACCTGGACAGATGCAGACCCAAAGGAGCTCACTCAGGCTGCTAGAAGGTGGGAGGCAAGGCCTGGTGCAACTTAACACTCACTGAGACAGGCTTCCCCTGCTCAGCATCCAATCCCAGAAACACATGGCCCACAGGCTGCACAGGTCTCCGGGGCCCCAGAGGCTGGGAGGAGGCTGAGATGCAGTCCACGTGTACAGAGGCCACACGTCCAGCCACACTCAGCATTAGCTTGTGCCAACGCAGGTCAAAGAGCTGGGGCACTGGGAAGATGCAGGACACAAATTCACCATCTTGGTCCTGTGCCCGGAGCTCCAGGCTCTGCTCTTGGCTGTTGACTTCCAGGGAAATCTGTGCAGAATTGGGAAAGGAGAAGGAGAGAGTTAGCGCTCCAGAGTCACCTCATGGCAAAGTCAAGGGCCCTCGAGCTCATTTCACAGAAGGGGAAACTGAGTTCCAGAAACGGAAGAAAGCTGGTTGGAGTCATGAAGAAGTATGTCTTGAAAGAATGGGACTGGAACTGATGGGCTGAGGTCACCTTGAGGGTGGGCACTGAGATGGAGCAGGGAGGCCCCAGCTGGATTGGTATCACCTGATGCCCCAGGGAGCATGTGCGTAGGGTAGTGGGCAGGACTCACCTGTGGATACCCATTTCCATCAGTCACTTGAAACAAGTACCATGTGTTCTGGTAGGTATGCTTCTTCAGCAGGAGGGTGAGCACTAGGGCAAATTCCTCTGGGAGTCCTTGAGGGAACACTCGGCTGCAGATGGAGTGGAGGGATGCCCTGAGGCTCAGGGAGAGCCCAATTGCTGCCCACTCCTCTGGGCCTTTAGGAATGAAGAGCCTGCCTGTGATACCAAAGGCACACACCTCCAAACAAAGTACATTCATTCTCCCATTTTGCATCACTTATTGAGCATCTTCTAGGTGACAGGTGCGGGGCTGGCTACTGGGGGAATATTGAGGAAAACAGAGAAGGGGCCTGCGCCCGTGGGGCCTTCCAGTCTGATGGTGATGGGGGACTAGAAACTCCCCGGAATGACTACTTCACTACTGCATTACAATTTTGGCAAGGGCTTCTAAGGAATCTAGGATGCCTTGGGATGAATAACTGGGCCTGGGATGGAAGGAAAGATGCTAAAAAAGATGGGAAGGGTTCTGCATGACAGAGCAGTCAGAAGAGAAAGGGCCATATGGGGGGTTGAGGCCAGAGGGGTAAACAGGCGCAAGTCACCTGAGGACTGGTGGGAGTGTGGACTTCACACATGTGAGCACATACACACACACTTGCCAGGTTCCTACTCCCATCCTACTGTTCTCATTCTTGAGGAGCTCACAAGACACGGACCTGGTCCTGCCCACTGCTAGCCAGAGATAGGGTAGGACTGCTAGGTGCCCCTTTGCACCCCACCCTACAAGCACCAAGACTAGAGGCCAGGCTGAG